AATTAACTACAGATAAATAGGGCATCTGGTTGAAACAAAAAAACTGGTATCCTCTGGGTGCTCCAGTTTCCTCCCACAGTCCAAAAATGTGCAGATTAGGTGGGTCAGCCATGCTAAATTGGCTTTTATACCCAGGGATGTGCAGGCTAGGTGGATTAGCCATGGGAAATGCAGGGTTACAAGGATAGGGTAGCAGGGTGGGTCAGGATGGGCTGCACTTCAGAGGGTTGGTGCAGAACTAATGGGCTGAATGGCCTGCTTCCACACTGCAGGGATTCTATGATTCTGTAACATGTATCTGATGACAATGCAACTCAAACATGCTTGAAGTCGATTCCACTTAAATCTCATCCAACCCTATCTTGCAAGGTCAGAGGGGTGTAAATACAAGCCAGAGTTAGAAAATACTAATCTTATTGTCACCCTTGTGGCAAGTAGGTGGGGATTTGGATTTTATGAGGGAAAATGCAGCAGGGAGATTTGTTTAGTTTCAAACTGGAGGGCCAAGCCTACAATGTGCTCATAGAGTCTTGTGGCAGAAAGCTTGTAGCAGAGTTAGCTTGGAAGTTGTGGAAAGGGAGTTGGGAATTTACCAGCAACCTGCACAGGGACAGAGCCTTCCAAATTCTTGAGGTCTGTAACAAAAGCTTGAGGGTCATTTTATCCAAAAGGTTAATAAACAGATTCCCATAAGATTTTGCATCTCAGGGAATAGCTGGAACACAAAATTAAAGTGAATTCCAGGGGGCTGTGGCAATGTGATGGGCTGAGTGGCCTCCCATTGTGGGCTACCACAATTCCATGATACCCTTGGGTTGCTTCCTCCAGGAGTGGGTGAACCTTAAAAATTGATAGTGCCCAAGAAATTTCTTGAGGAAAGTAACCAGTAAAGGGAATGTACAGCACAAGTGAGTATGAACTACAGCATTAAATTTACTTTAATTCTTTTGTATACCAAAGAAGTTTTGTTTGAAAATGTGAAATCCTGCAGTGTAGTTCTATTGGTTAATGATAGGATTCCTGTAAGAATTGTAAAAATTCCTGGATTATAATTGACTGGATGTATGACTGAGCCACACAGTGCTGTACCAGAATGACACATTGGGTGGCTTGTCAACCTTTCAAGAATTGAAAAGATTCTTCTTTTCAAGTTAACACCCAGGAGAAAAATCTCAGGCATTAATATATATTTTTTGCATTATTAGCAGCAAAAATAGAGAAGAGGAGAACAGTCCGTTTGACTCATAGCTAAAATAATTCTAATGATATAACAAGGAGTGTCCTTACTTTTCAACTGGTAAGGAGGAAGACAGCCTGGTGGATAGAGCAATGACAGGAATGTGGGGGCAGAATCCTCTAAGTTTCAAGGTCATATGAAGCAGCCTGCAGAAAGTGACCCAGCCAAAAGTTGGCAAATCAAACCAATAGACCCAGATTGGTCAGATGACAAGTGTCCTATAAAGGACTGAAGTTAAACCAGTGGATTTAAAATCCTGCTCCTTTCCTTGTCACTTCTTCTGTCCTCTATTCCCAAAATGATCAGGTTTATTCTGTAAGAACACAAGATACAGTAGTAGATCATTCCGTCCTTCAAACCTGCTTCCCATTCAATACTATTGCAGCCACGGTGACAATTGAACTCGAACTCTAGATTTCTAACCAATGACCATAACCACAACACTACCACACCCAGTACCAAAATGACTGGAGGGTATGCATGATTAACAATGTGACACAGGAATAGGGGAAACCATGCTGCGCTGCCTCAGCAGTCATCCAGTAGGTGGTTCAAATGTAGAGGGCTGGTGCAGCTTATTTAATAGCAGAACATGTTATGGAGAAGTAATCACCCTGTGGGTTTGTGCAACCTTTCAGCCTGCCATAACCTTTTACATTGCCAAGTCAAACTGGTTTGCTCTCGACACGTCGGTCAGTTCCATCGTCAAGTTTCAGCTTTAGAAGAGCAGAGCTTTTATTAAATTTGGGGTCACACGTTTGTGGATCTGATTTGGTAAGTCTCACCTAACTGATGGAGTCCTAATCAGTTTGGCTGAGGAAGCCTCACTGCCACAGGATATCATATGCTTCACCAGCATATCCCATTCACCACTGTAAATATTTACTGCTTTCACACTACTTGGCAGTGGAGAGCACCATGGTTCCTACAACAGCCACCACTACCTGGTAAAACATGGGACGCAAACACGTGGGACCAACGCCAAGTTCCCCTTCAAGTCACGCACTATCCTGACCTGTGACAAATATCATTGTTCCCTCAATGGCCAAAATCCTGCAATTTTCTGATCCGCAGCATTGGGAATGCACCCACACCATGCAGCTGCAGCAGTCCCAGAATGCACGTCACTGTCACTTTCACATCGGCGCTCAGGGAAGGCCAACAAAATACTGGGTCTGTCAGTGAGTGAATTAAAAGGACAAGGTAACACATAGACACACAAATCTGTGTTGTTAGAAGAAAATGACATCCTGCAACAGTAAACCTGGGAGACAGCACTCGACACTTTACAGCAACCCTTTAAATAGATCCAACCCCTTCAGGAGATCACACACAGCAATGGGTAGGGCAGTTCCAAACATAATTACAGCCAGGCTGCGTGAAGCATGCCGAAAGTTAATTTACACTAACAGAGAAATGGCCGAGTCCTGGGCTGCAGCAAAGATCACATCTTACATAAAGGTAGATGCAATATCAAACAATACAAGTCTGGTCAACATGATCTCCTAGACTCATTTCAATCACTTGAGGTCAAAGAGGGATTTTTCCAGGTTTTTGATTTTCCGAATTGGACTTGGGGTTGATCCCATACGGAGTGTGGGCCATTAAGTTACAGATTGTGGTTGAATACAATTCTGCTGCTCCTGGGCACCTCACAGATAGTCAGTCTTGAGCTATTCAATCTGTTCTGTATCTCTCTCATTGAGCATTATGGTAGTGCCACACAGCACCATGGAGGACATTCTCACAGTAAAGATGTCACTTCGTCTCCTTTGAACTACTCCAAAGTAGTCAATGGTATCATAAACTGATGCACCTGCAACAAGTATACTGGTAGGGATAAGTTTATGTTAGTTTTTCCCTCTAGCTGGTTCCCACAGCACCTGCTGCAGACCCAGTCTTGCAGTTATATCCTTTAGGATTTATTCAGCCCTGTCAGTCGTGGTGCTACTGATGCACACTTGATGAACATTGAAACTCCCCTCGCAGAAAACATTTTGCGTCCTCCTCACCATCAGTGTTTCTTCCAATTGGCACTCAATAAGAATTAGTACATTTTCATCAGCCAAGGGTGGGAATGGTGAGAGGGACAATAGCCAGTTAGCAAGTGGTTTCCCTACCATGTTTGGCTTGAAGGCAAGGGACTTTATGGGATCCAGGTCAATGCTGAGGACTCCTAGGGCAACTCCCTCCTGACTGTATGCCACTGTGCTGCCACTCTGTTCGGACAAGACATACCCAGTTATTTGGATGGTGCATCCTGGGACATGGTGTCCCCACTATCATACCCATCAGCCAATGCAAGGCTGTTGCTCAGTTTGTCTGTGCGTTCATTTCTTTTTGACCTTTTGGTAAAAAGGAATGGCTCGCTAGGTCAATCCAAATGGCATTTAAGTATTAACCACACTGGTGTCTGTGGGTCTGGAGTCAAATGTAGGCCAGGAAAGCAGATTTCCTGCCCTAAAAAGGGATTAGTGAACCAGATAGGATTTTAATGACAAAAACCAAAAGAACTGCAGATGCTGTAAATCAGGAACAGAAACAGAAGTTGCTGGAAAAGCTGAGTAGGCCTGGCAGCATCTGTGAAGAAAAAAAAAATCAGAGTTAATGTTTCAGGGCTGGTGACCCTTCCTCAGAACTTAGAACACTTAGAAGATCTCAGGAAGGATCACCAGACCTGAAACGTTAACTCTGATTTTTTTTTTCTTCACAGATGCTGCCAGACCTGCTGAGCTTTTTCAGCAACTTCTGTTTTTGTTTGACATTTTAATGACAAATCGATTCAGATTCAATTGGTGACCTTATAGCCAAGTTTCTGTAATGAGCATTATGTCACAGCCATTTATTTCAATTTGTACCGTTAATTTCACTGTATGGTTATTCATGCTTTTAAATGTCTTTTTACCCTTTCCCCCCCAACACCAACCCTACTTGCTGGTGCGTACTGCACACATTATCCCTTGCTGCCACACTATGGTCGTCATCACCATATTGCTACCCTGCATTGTTATTGCCTTGCCCTTTTCCATTAATATTTTAAATTGCATTTCACAAGCCTTTAACCTGCTTAGTTAGTTTAATATTTCTGCTACAGTCCTAACTAAATAATTCACCAGGACATCGGTCCCAGCAGGGTACAAGAGAAGTCTGCCCCAAAAGACAGAGCCCTATCTTTGTCCTGTACTGGTGCCAGTACCCGACAAGTCAAAACTTATTTCCCCCACACCAATCCATGAGCCACACATTAAACTGTCTGATCTTATTTACCTTTTTCCACATTTGCTTGTGGCTTAGGTAGTGATACAGAGAGTTAACATTCAAAGGTTTCTACCCTAATTCACTTTCTCAGGGGAAACTAAACAGATCAATTTTACAAACTAATCACCTGACTAAACTCAGTGAATTTTAAGTTACAATATTATGTAAAGCTTGCAACCACACTCTGTATCCGTATACAATTGATTCACACAATTGTTTCAACCCCATCAATCGGAATAAGTTTACATGCTGAAAGATTTCTAACTTCTGCTCACATTCAAATCTGCACCTTTAGAGTGATTGAGAATACCATCTAATCTCTTTAAAACTATTTCCCAAGAAAACAGTTACAAAAGAATTACAATTGTCACATTGACTATAAATACGCTGCAAAAGAATCATGCTCTCCTATTTCAGGAACTGTAAGCTTGTTGCATATTCCAAAGCACACAAAAACCATCAGGAACACTTTGTTCAAAAGAAATTCATTGCGAAGTTTACTTACTTTGCTGCTGGTTTAGGTTTTGTTCCAGTGTTTTGATAGTATCTGATAGAGCTTGATTTATTGAGTGGAGGTTCTGCCTCTCAGTGACAGCTTCCTCCAGTTCATGCTGTAACACTTGTGTCTCTGCTCTGACTGAGGCTAATGCAATGTTCTTGTCACAGACCTGAATAACAGCATCAAAAACTGGTTTGCTGCAAGTTAATTACACAGATAAATTGCTCGTGTGTCTATATACACACCTCAAATACAATATGGTTGTTGCTTAATGGGTGTAACTAGATTCCAATACAGTTCCAGCTGGCATCGATTTTATGACAAGGACTGCAGCTATATTTTAAGATCAGTTTACTGAAATGAACCCATGGTTAAAATGATTAAAATACACAAACTGTCTTAAATATACAAGTAACCACCCACACCATCCACCCACACAAACTCGCTCACTTCCTTCAGTACCGACTTGTACAAAATGTCAAAATAGTTCAACAATGAAAGAATTCTCAAACAAACAATCTAGATATCAAATACAGTCAGTCAATCCCATAGACAAAACAAAAAGACACACACAACTGGTACAGACACTGGAGAGGATCAAACTTGCCTCTTTTTGCAGATCTTCGAGCTGTTGAGCAACTTGGTACAGCTGAAGTTTCACAGCAGCTGCCGCTGTCTCTGTTAGCTGCTTCTGGGCTTCAAGTTCTTGCAGCCTGTTAAACCAGCAGAAAGCCACAAGCTGACAATGACCTTTAAACAGCAAACACCTGCGTAATAAATGGCAAACCCCTCAGCTTGGAATCCTCCTGAAGCACTGGTATCAGTGCACAATGAAAGACACCGAAGCTCAGACTTGGCTGCTCCCTTGCCTTTCAAACATGAAACTCAAAAGTAAAAACCACTGACACCCATGTGAACATTTCCAAATTCTGCACTTCCCTGAATAACAAGGGCAAGCCAGTAAAACTAAAATGCCGTTAACTCACGCAGTGTTCATTATATCTTCTTTGTTAGTGGTGTTAACGTTGAGGCAGCTAGAAGTTTAGAACAACACTTCTGGTATTTTATTTTAAAATTTCAGCTTACATAGTGCAATGAAGCATTTCCCTTTAATTTTCATAGTGATTTATTACCACTGGTGAATGAAAATGCTGATTTAGATAAAATATTGTGCTTCACAAGTCAACAGCAGATTTCTTTTTTAAAGTACTGAAGGGGCGAGGATGGCAGTTGTGGAAAATGGAAACGTGGTGAAGACAGCTAATATAGGGTCGTAAGAATCAAAAGCAGGGATAGGCCATTCGGCCCTTCAAGTGTGTTCCACCATTCGATGGGATTGTGGCCTCAATTCTACATTACTGACTGCTTCTTTTTACTATTGACTGTTATAAATCGAAAATCTGAATTGCTGGGGGATTTTCGATGGTCTGCTTGGCACACACTTTGAGAGCACCTCAGACCAACACTGGGATCAAAGGGAAACGTTGTGTCTGGGATAGGTCAGTCAGTCCCTCTGGTCTGTTCAAATAGAATATGGTTAAATGCATTGCTGTGATTCCATATCCCTCAAACCTGACCTTAAAAAGGGTCAGAGAAAGGCAATGGTATCCTGAGTGTACAGGCTGGCTTGCCCCTCTACAGTTATGCGGAACCTATGAGAGCCACAAAGTGTGCACACCACTTGAAGCCAGATGTGCAAGTGGTGCAGCTGGAGAGAACCAGCTACTGAAAAACATAGCAAGGAAAAAGATAGGTCTGCAATGTTGAAATTGGGTGGGGAGTGCGTAAACATCTGTGCATCCTCCACTCCCTGCTGATACGGAAATGAAACAGAGATAGGAGACAGGATTGGATTTCATTCCACTCCATGGCAAAGCTATGAATTAGTGATGGAGTTGATCTTAAAAACCTGAGCACATAAGAATTGCACCCCACTCTCAGGAGTTGGAGAAAGAGTGCTGTAAGCGGCTTTTGGAACGGACGGTGGGACAGAAATGCCAGACTGGAGCCTGAAGGGGATATACCGAAAGCAAAAGGACTTCCCTGGGACAAGATAAAGAGGTGCAGCAGCCAATGGATTTGAAAGCAGAACAATTGCTTATTGAACTATTTAGCAAAACTCTGACTTAAAATTTGTCCTCAGAGTGCGAACCTCTACATAAACTCACTGCTAAGGATGTGCAAAGGTACCAAGGTTACAGAACAAGCCACAGCTTCTGCTAGAATCAAACAACTAGTGAAAGCAGGACCAGAAGTGCTATAAGTGTAAATAGTAAAGTAATCTCAACTTTATGCAGCAAGGACAACACATTGCACACGCAACATTGGAGTTAACATTGGAGTTCTCGCAAACTGAATGACTCCATGCAAATAGAAAAAGTACTGGTGTTGTCAATAGAGGAATGTGGAGCTGGAAAAGCACAGCAGGTCAGACAGCATCGGAGGAGCAGGGAAGTCAATGTTTCGGGCCAAAACCCTTTGTCAGGGCTGAGGAGGGGAGAGGACCTCAGAAATAAATAGAGGGTGGAGTGAGGATGGGGCTGGGGGTTGGGTAGGTGGGATGGAGATAGGTGGATGCAGGTAGGGGGTCATGGTTTGTCAGTGGGAAGGGTGGAGTGGATGAGAGAGTCAGGAGATGGACAGGTTGGGGATGGAGACATTTTGAAGGTAAAGTCAATATTTAGGCCATTGGTCTGTGAGCTCCCAAGGTGAAATATGAAGTGCTGTTCCTCCAGTTTACGTTTTGCTTTACTCTGACAGTGGAGGCGGCCAAGGATGGACATGTCACCAGGGGAGTTAAAGTGGATGGCAACCAGAAGGTCAGGTTAGTTGGTGCGTGCAGAGCACAGATGCTCCGTGAACTGGTTCCATGTCTGCGTTTTGTCTCCCCGAGATACAGGAGACCACATCAGGAGCAACGGATACAGTAGATCAGGTTGGATGAAGTACAGGTGAATCTCTGCCAAATTTGGAAGGATTGTTTGGAGCCTTGGATGGAGGTGAGAGGGGAGGTGTAGGGGCAGGTGTAGCAGCTCCTGTGGTTGCAGGGCAAGGTACCAGGTGTGGTGGATGGTTGGTCGGGATTGTGGAATCGACGAGGGAGTCTCGGAGTGAATAGTCCCTGTGGAAAGTGGATATGGGTGGGGAGGGAAATATCTTTTTGGTAGTGGGGTCTGATTGTAGGGCAGAAATATTTTGCCTTGGGAGCTTGCAAAATCTCTCCTTCCCTCAAACTATCCATCTTCCGACTCACCCTTCCTACTAACAAATCTCAATAACCCCCTACCTACACTCTCCCAGCTCCACCCCCTTCCTTCTATTTATGTGTGGTCCCCTTCCTTCCCCAGTCCTGAAGAAGGGTTTTGGCCCGACATGTTGACTTTCCTGCTCCTGAAATGCTGTCTGACCTGCCGTGCTTTTCCAGCTCCACATTTATTGACACTAGCTTCCAGCATCTGCTGTCCTTACTGTCTCCAAGTACTTGGTATTGTCTTCAGTTGTGGGCATTTTAATATCTGTATGGGGCGGCACGGTGGCTCAGTGGTTAGCATTGCTCCCTCCCAGGACCAGGGACCCAGGTTCAATTCCACTGTGCAAACTCCACACAGACATTCTCCCAGTGTCTGCGTGGGTTTCCTCTGGGTGCTCCAGTTTCCTCCTACAGTCCAAAGATGTGCAAAGTGGGTGGATTGGCTATGCTAAATTGCCTGTAGTGTCCAGGGATGTTTAGGTCAGGTGGGCTAGACATGGGGAAATGCAGGAATGAGTCAGGGTGGGATGCTCTTCAGTGGGGCGGTGTGGACTTGTTGGGCCGAGTGGCCTGTTTCCACACCGTAGGGATTCTATGATTCAATGAAAGCGACAGTGGAGTTTAACTACAAGCCACTTCAAAGTATCTACCTTAAACTGCTACTATTTGCTCAAAAGTATTTGCAAAGAACATTACATAGTTTGCAGAGAAACCACCTGGATGTTAACATGGGAGGTCATTTACATCTGTACCGGACATTGATTAGGTGACTTTTAAACTACTGTGCTCAGTTCTGGTCTCCCTGCTTTAGGAAGGATTTTGTAAAACTTGAAAGGGTTCAGGAAATATTTACAAGGATGTTGCTGGAGATGGAAGGTTTCAGCTATAGGGAGAGGCTGAATAAGCTGAAACTATTTTCTCTGGAGCTTCAGAGACCGAGGTGTGGCCTTACAGATGTTTATAAAATCATGAGGGGCATGGATAGGGTGAATAATCAAAGTCTTTTCCCAGGGTAGGGGAGTCCAAAACCAGAGGGCATAGGTTTCATGAGAGAGGGGAAAGATTTAAAGAGGACCTATGTGGCAACATTTTTTTATGCAGAGGGTTGTGTATATGGAATGAGCTCCCAGAGGAAGTGGTGGATGCTGGTACAATTACAACATTTAGAAGGCATCTGGATGGGTACATGAATAGGAAGGGTTTAGAGGAATGTGCTAAATGCTGGGAAATGGCACTAGATTAATGTAGAATATCTGGTGGACATAGATGAGTTGAACCAAAGGGTGTGTTTCTATGTTGACGTCCCTAGAACTCTACACAAGCAAGGAGAACAAAAGGTACGTTGCTTGTGCACTGCCAAGAGTAGCACTCCCCAAGAAAGTATGAATGCCAGGAAAGATGTTGAAATCGTCCAGATTCACATAGAACCAATAGCTTTATATGCTCTGGAAATCATCCCAGAACAGACACAATTTGAAAGACAAGAGCCTTGCTCAAATCAAGCAGCAACATACAACTCTCTAAATATTGTAGGAAGAAGTGGTGAAAGGATGGCTTGAAATCAGGGGGACACACTGATTTCTACAGAGAGTATATTAGGCATAAGTGAAGCAACAGCCGAAGGTGACAACTTATACAAAAGGAAATGGAGTCATTATCTGTATGGAAATGAGAAAAAAAGATGTTGCCAACTATCCATGCAGGCCCTCATGGAAGTGAGTCTAGTCTGTGGAAGACAGAAGCAGTGTTCTACCGACCAAGTTTGAGTCATGAGATTAAGGAGCACATTGGGCAACAAAGTGCATGATATTCCAGGCAGACCAGGGATGAAGCATGGAGTAGACCTCTTCACTGTCCCAGGAATTGATAATCTCCTCACCATCGACTAATATTCTAAAGAATTATTTACATCCATAAACATCGACCTAGCCAAAGAGACAATTGGCACACCACTGAACAAGTCAGGAAGGCAGACACCCCACGACACCAACAGCATCAACAAGGACAGCACCCTGAAACTGCTGGATCTGTGCCTCACAACCCATTTCACCTTCAACAGCCATATATTTAAACAAGTCAACGGAACATCAATGGGATCCCCAAAATCAGGACTGATTGCAGAAGCGGTAATGCAAAGGTTAGAACGGACTGCACTCCCCACTATCCAATCCAAACTCTGGTTCCGCTATGTAGATGACACCTTCATGATTATCAAACGCACAAGACTAGAAGAAACCCACCGACACAAACAACATCCTTACTGGAATAAAATTCACAAATGAAGAGGAGAACAACAACTGACTACCCTTCCTGGATGTAATGGTGAAAGAACAATGGGGAACTCCAGACTAGCATACACAGAATGACCACACATACAGACCACATACTTAATTATACCAGCAACCACCCCAACATCCATAAACGGAGCTGCATCAGGACACTATTCAAATGGGCCCCAACACACTGCAGCAACCCAGAACAGGAGCACTTATGCAGAGTTTTTAAGAGGAATGGATACTCGAAAGCACAATTCGCTGTTACTTCCGCGACTGACCACAACAGGAAAACACAAACACGGCCAGACACACTAGTCACTCTACAGTACAGAGACATATCAGAGATGACTACAAGACTACTCAGACCCCTAGGTATTAGGGTAGCCCATAAACCAACAACCAACCTGCGACAGCTACTGACCAATGTAAAAGGATCCCATACCGACAAACAATAAAACCAATGCAATATACAAAATACCAGGCAAGGACAGTGAAAAACATTACATAAGCCAAAGTGGAAGAAAACTGACAATAAAAGATATATGAACACCAACTAGCCACCAAGAGACACGACCAATTCTCACTGGTCTCAGTACACAAGGACAATGAAGGACACAAATTCGACTAGGACAACACAGCCATAACAGCACAAGCCAGGGAATTCCTGGAAGCCTGGCATTCCAACTAGAACTCCGTCAACACACAGATTCAACTAGACTCAACATACAAACTACTGAAAAACAGAGCTGCAAGTAATACCAACCACCCCAGCAAACCAAGGCATACAAGTAACAAGCAGGACAGAACACCAATGCTTCACCGGAGGCACACTGATGATGTTACTGAGCAAGGAGAAGAAACATCTGCAATCAAACACACTGGCTCGGAGAGCAAGTCTACAACCTCAATATTCTAAAGAATCAGTTGTGTCAATTAATGTCAACAGCTACCCAAGTGCGTTTGGAGACTGCACTAAAAGCAATAGTTAGTCATTATGGCATTTTATATAAAAAGCAGTGGCAATGGCACTGGCACTCAACTCACAAGTGAAGAATTCAGCCAATTCATGAAGGATTGAGAAATTCAACACCATGTATTATCTCCAGTCAAATGGAAAGTCTAAGGTGGCAATGTAAACTATCAAAGAGATCATAAAGAAATCAAGCAAACCCAGGACCAACTTCTACGAGGCAATCCTTGAATGGAGGAATCCATCTACTGAAGACATGGAGAATAGTTCAGACCAAAGATTAATATTGCACCACATCCAAATTATTCTCTGGTAGTGAAAAACTATTGAGGCCACAAATAGTGGCAAGCAAGTATAGCAAAAACCAACGTGAAGTGACAAAGTCAGTTTTCACTTTGATAACCCTGTCAAGTCATTGCCTCAGCTGAAACATCAGAGAACCAGAGTGCAAATATTTAACACTTTTAAAGAATGATCCCACAAGGGAACTTGGGCCTGTGTTTAGTAGCTGTCAGCTCAAATCATACCCAATGAACATGACAAGACAAATCTATTGTCATGGCCCTGAATATATACATCCAATTGGTAAAGCTGTTCCTTTGTTCCAATACAGAAAACCATTCAGGACGTCCAAGAGATCCATTGTTCTCCAGCAACAGAAATGGATCAACAACCGGTAACACGTTAACAACAGGTAACATGGCAACAGCATTTACCATAGGAATCTCACCCCAGGAATGAGCAAATACCAACACCCAGGGAACAGCCAATGACCATGCACTACCTATCATTTAGATACCTGCACAATTTGAACACTACATATATAAATGCATGTGCAGTAACCGATGAAATGGAATAGACTAGAGTTAACACGCTGATTTGACAATGAATGATAACCTTTGATGACCATGTATATTGAGAAACGTGTATAACTTATAACTGCAAATGGTAGTGCGAACATTTTTTTTTTAAAATTGGAGATATTTGAAGAAACAGAGAAACACAATAGGACCCTTAGTTTACTGGCTGACCTGTTGTGATCATGTCACTTTACCTCAGCTACCAGTGCCTATATGTGCAGTCTACTGAAACCAGTAAAACACACTGCTTTAAATAAATCAACCTTCCTTTCAAAATTTTCAATTGAACCCCAACATCTGCAGCAAATCTGGGTAGATAGGGCTGTTCCCACTATTCTACCATGAGAGAGAAGTGGTGCTGTAGGGCATGCCCCTGAACAACCTGGTTCTAATTACTAAAGTTCTGAACATCCTCACCAGCAGAAATATCATAGGTGGAGAGGAATTATCTGAACTTTTATTCAATTATCTCAATACCCAGAAATACAGACTTGCTACGCGTAATGCGACTGTGAAATTGCATCCACTAAGTGCCTGAACGTTCATTATTAGCAATTGCCACTTGCCCAAAACCAGTGGATTTGTCCTACTTCACTGTCCACACCTAGTGGCTTCTCTCTTCTTCAGGTGCAGTTGCTCTGTTTTGCTTCTCCGAAAGTTGCTCGCCAATCTGACATACTCCCGATCCACAGCCAGCTTCTGTTCTTCCAAGTCAGAGATGTTCTGAAGCCACAGATGCCTTTTTTCCTGCAGATTATTCCTCAGGTGCTGAAACAGGGTCAGAGAAAAACAAAATGAAAGGAAAAATTGGGAAGTCTGGGTTGAGAATGGCACTTCCCTGGAGCAGCCATCTCTGGGCTCCAATCTGCCCTGGCAACAACAGTGCAAAATAATTTTCCATTCATCCACGTGCAACCTGCAGCCCCATACAATTCATCCTAGGGAAGAGATGACAACAACTCCCATCCGTACAGTACCTATACCGCATAGAAAAATGCTCTAAAAATAAATCTGGAGCTGACACACAAAAAGGAGACAGGCCAATGACCGAAATGTCAGCCAGATGATGTCAGAAAAGACAGAGAACTGGAGGTGTCTGGAGACAAAACATTTGAATGTTTAGCCATCAAAAAGGTGGACTGATAGAAACTGGGGATGCTCAAAAGGCCAGAATTGGAGCAGTCCAGGTATCTGGAAGGATATTTGTTGGAGTCATCTCAACCAAAACCAAGCTGTTGCGTCAAAACTATTGGAATGCAACAGGAAATAACTGAGGTCAACTTTGACCTCCACTGGGGAGAAAACAGATAACGGCAAGAAACAAATGGTGAATCCCTTGTCCATTCTACATGCAGCTCCTCATCATCTGTCTATTGAGGTGAGAAAGATGATAACTAATCATATTTCCTATTTTTTTTTTTTAATCCAGTGCAAAGCCAAAATTGACCTCTAGATTTTTTAAAATGGCCCCGTTTTCCTTCCTCTGCTTACTCTCTTCTATGCAATTCACCCGAGGTATTTGAAACTAGTCCGGAGAAAGGTTTGAAAGAAAACATGTAAATAACTAAAAGATGTCGAAAAATATTGCAGATAACTGCACCTTTTATCTCTCGCTGAACTTATTCAACCATTGCTGTTGCGAGTAAACATCAGGAAGTCCAAATAAGTCAATAAGATGAAAGCCAAATACCTCAGATGTTGGCGATCTCAAATGAAAATAGAAAGTACTGGAAAAACTTAGCATCTATGGCAAGAGAGACAGAGTTTGGAAGAGTTCATTGGTCTCAAAACATTAACTCTGATCCTCTTGCTACAGATCTGCCAGACCTGCTGAGTTTCTCCATCATTGATTTTATTGCAGTTCAGATGTTTGGTCAGAAGAGGAAGTGGTTGATGTTGTAAAATGGCTAGGTTGAATCTGACCTGCCTCTCCCCACAGGAGAAAGCAATTGTAATGCTTTTTTAGTTGATAATTTATACAGGAAGGGCATTTTTCTACAACCATGTAGTTTCAGTTGGCCAAGTCAGAATGCCAAAGGCTCAGAAGGGTGTTTGTCAGCCTGTTTCTCTGGTAGGACTGGGTAAAGAATTCTTGAAGGACTTGGCTTCAAACACAGCTGGGATTCTTACTCCACAACGCAGCCTAGCTCATCATTGAAAACACAAACATCAAGTAAAATGCACGATTGAGGCCAGATTAATATTTACACTCTGCAATCAAACCAGTTGCATTGCAATACAAAAAAACTCATGCAGTCATTGTATGAATCTTTGGTGAGTTTTACAGAGAGCCTTGGGTGTTGGCCTATGTGATACCAGTTTCGCTACCTAGCCCAAGGACGTGAAACATAAAAAGTAGGAGGAGGAGGCCATTCGACCCTTCAAACCTGTTCTGTCATTCAACATGATCATGGCTAATCATCCAGCTCAGTCCCCTGTTCCCACTTTCTTCCCATACCCGTTGATCCCTTTAGCTTTAAATGGCTATATCTAACTCTTTAAACATTCAATGTTTTGGCCTTAACTGCTTTCTGTGGCAGAGAATTGCACAGCCATAAAGGGAAACAACATATAAAAAAAAAAAGAGGGTGAGAAATGGAGGTTAGAAAAGGTTAATGATAAATAATTAGTTTCACTTTTACTCAGGGTTTCTAACCAGTGACTAATAAAAGGGGATTAAGCAGAAAAACAATATATAATTTTAGCAACAGCAGAAGTTCACGTGCATGGACATATTTATTAGGAACAAAAAGTGATGCATTAAATAGGGCAACTAACACACATTAAGAAATGCATTTCATTTCTGTCAGATGCTGATAATAAGAATCCATGCTGGTTACTTCCCCTTAAACAAACATTAACTTCCTTATTAGATTTTTAATGAAAGCTCCGCAACAACGGTCATCGTAGCAAAAAGCAATTGTTAAAAATGGCTTGACACGAAGGAAGTTCTAGGAGCTAAAATTAAAACAAAATACTGCAGTTGCTAGAAATCAGAAATAAAAGCAGAAAGTGCTGGAGAAATTCTGCAGGTCTGGCAACATCTGCGGAGAGAGAGGAACAGTTAACATTGAGTCTGACAGGGCACTTCAAGTTTCTACCAATTGACTGGTAGAAAAGTAGGCATCATTTGGTTGTGGAGAGAAGTTAGGTGTGGGAGAAGTTAGACAAGTATTCCACATTCTTCTTACTGCCCAGAGTAACAACAGTCCCACCCCCTTACTGATCGTCAAGTGGGAGATAAATACATTGTTTCGTCAGTTTGTGGATTTGAAGAAAAATTGCTTGGGTGAAGAGAACTCCATTCACAAACAAAAAAATGAAACGGTTAAAATAAACAGAAACACGGCTACATGCTTGGAACTTGGCGCCAAACTGTCATGTCTGTTATTGTTCACTGAGTGAGGCATTGGTGAGAAGCCTCGAGTCGAATGATTAAATTGAATTCTGATTTCCCAGCCCCTTTCATTACAGAGAATGATACAGCACAGAACTTCGATCCCTACAGTGTGCACATTCATCAAGATTACCAATTAGGTTCATACCCCCTATTCTTTCCCCATTTGCTATGACAAAGTGACAGTGCAATGCGCTAAATACAACTCAATTTTTTTTTTTTTATTTGTTCATGGGATGTGGGCGTCATTGGCTAGGCTGACATTTTGCCCAGAGGGAAGCTGCAAGTCAACCATTTGGGTGCATCTGGAGTCACATAGGTCAGGATGGCAGATTTACTTCCTTAAAAGAAAAAAGGACATTATTGCCCAAGATGGGTTTTTACAACAAAATTGACAGTTCCCATCAGGCCAGCTTGTTGTCATTTCAGATTTTTATTGCCATGTGTTGTGCTGAGATTTGACTCCACAACATTAATCTGGGTTCTGGATTAATGGCGCAGAATATTATCACTTAACTACCATCTCTCCCTGCAATCTTTACAGTTAGAGGATGTGAAAGGTGCAATATAAAAGCAAACTCATCTTTCTCTCCCCCACCCCACCCCACCAAAGTTATCAGGTCCACGTGGAGGGCAGTTCCCAGTTCACTTACACTGCAAGGTTAGCAACTGCATGAGCCAGTTTGGCAAGCCATCCAAAACTGGGAGAAGCGTGATGTGGGGGAATGAAATCTGAAGGAAAACACCTGAGGAGCTGTGCTGCTCTTCTCTTTGGCTTCACTGGATACAGATCAGTGGAACTGAATTCATACCAACAGAGGCTATACAGATAGCCATCTGTTCTGGTCACTGGAGGTTGCAGATTGCAATTTGACAGAGCGGTTTCTCATAGAGATCAATTCTACCCCATATAGTGTGACTGTACCTTCACTAACACACAGAAAACAGAGTCTGGTCCAGCATTCTGAGAACACAAGTTATATTACAGTCAGAAACAAAAAAAAAAAAAAATCTGAAAAATCTTTGTTCGAGGCGAATATTTAACTGAAATTAGAGATACAGCAACAGAATAACAAAAATCTTGGGATTAACCAGAACAAAAGGAGTTTGTGCAGTGTATTGTTTGATTATTTTATTAGCAGAAAAATCAGAGGAAGAAGACTTCAAATTCATGCTTGTTGGAAAGTTCAGAAAGGAAAATATTTCCAAAAGGCTTCCTGTGCAAAACCTTAATAAAACCAAAAGTGGAATATAGCAGAATGGATCAGCAGAGGCTTTCTTGCTTTTGGATTATAAATGCCTCCCAAACTCAACTGGGGGATGGAAGTCCATATTTTCTTGCAAACGGACAATCCAACAATATTGGTAAGGTTGGACAGGGTTAACTTAGATTTGATAAGGGGGAAACCAGCAGATGGGACGTATTTTGATTTTCAGAAAGTTTTTGACAAAGATCCTATGCAGATTTGTAAACCAAATCAGCACTTATGGGATAGAGGGTAATGTACTGGCATAGATTGAAAATTGTTTAACAGGCAAAAATAAATGGGTCATTCTTCAGATGGCAGGATGTGACAAGGTGAGAGATTGTCCATGTCCAAAATAAACCCAATGTATTCTTGTTATTGTCATACTGAAAACTAGGTGCATCAAGTAATTAAGGAGGGAGACGGTATGTTGGTTTTTATCACATTAGAATTCTAGTACATGAGTTAAGAAGTCTTGCTGGAATTATAGAGCATTGGAGAGTGCACGTGGAGCTCTGTGTACAGCTTTGATCCCCTGCAGCACGCAAGGATATCTTTGCCATGGAGTCAGTGAAGTAAATGTTCACCAGACTGATTCCTGGAATGGCAGGATTACCTTTGAAGAAAGATTGAAGCAGCTGCATGGACCCATATTCTCTAGAGTTAGGAGATCAAGAGTTGCTGAAACTTACAAATTTCTTATAGGGAGGAGTTGGGTAGATGCAGGGAAGGTATTCCCCTCTCAATTGGTGAGGTTGAAGGGAGCTGTTTAAGATCATAAGTCAGAAAGAAGTAGGCCATTCAGCCCATTGCGTCTGCTCTGCCATTCATGGAGATCACTGCTGATCTGGTCACGTTAATGGTGAGGCAGCCTTGACAGACTGAGTGGTTTACTCCTGTTCCTATGTTCCTTAATGATGGGCCAACAAAAAAGGATTAAAGAACTTACAGCCTGTTTCATTTTGGACATCAGAGAACTGTGAAAATCAATTTACAGCAGAAGGGAAGCAAGTGGACTCTACCGACTTACTATTGTATTGTGAATGGTTTCCCCACTCCAAATTAGAGTGGATAGTCAACAAGAACCCAGATACTGGGCATAACATACATACGACCACTTATGTAGGAGAGGCACAGAAAAAGTGTTTGCAGGTAGCTCAGAGGGCATGAGAGTAACAGCTCAGTCTATGAATTTTATTTGGAAATGAACTTCATGATATCAGACAGCCAGAGCAATAACCAACTCTAGTTAAAAGTTCACCTGAGAACCAACCCCCTTCAAATTAGCCTACACAGCCCGATGACAATAAGCCAATTTACAAGACCCTTTGCATTAACTTTAAGATGGCAACTTCAATCAAGAGACTAGACCCGACTTGCAGGGGACGAGACCATAAACCGGAGACTATTGACAATAATTTATAACCTTTATCTGTGACCGATTATGTGACTGTGTACATGTGAGAACAAGTGAGAGAAGTCATAATTAGTTCCGGGTAAGGGCATGAGAATAAATAACCTTTATTTCAAATCTCTCAAACACTTGCTGCTGGAAACGTTTAATTGAGTTATAGGGTGCAAGAAAACACAGAGTCATAGCTGTATAGGTGTACAGCACCAAAAAAAAAAAAAGGGCCCTTCTACCCATCGAGTCTGCGTCAATCAAAAACAACTACCTCACTATTCTATCCCATTTTCTAGCACTTGGTCCTCAGCCTTATAAGCCTTGGCATCGCAAGTACACATCTAAATACTTAAATGTGATGAGGATTTCTACGTCTACCATCCTTACAGGAAGGGAGTTTCAGATTCCCATCACCTTCCCAGTGAAAAAAAAGTTTTCACACCCCCCGCTAAACCTCCTGCGACTTACCTTCAAACCATGCTCCTGGTCATTGATCCCTCCATCAATGGGAAAAGTTCCTTCCTGTCTATGCCCCTCAGAATTTTATACATCTCGATCATGTCCCCTCTCAATCTCCTCTGCTCCAAGGAAAAAACAACCCCAGTTTGTCCCATCTCTTCTTTACTACTAAACAACTGCTTCCATAACAGAACATACTTTTAACAGACAGAAGGAATACATTCTATGATTAAATTACAGAAGTAGGAATAGGCCATTTTGCCCCCTCCTCGGTGAAGCCTATTGCATAATACATTAACTCAGATCATGTCAGATTTGTACCTCAACTATATTTCCTGGACTTTGGTCCGTATTGCTTGGCATCATTACTGAACAAAAATCTATTTATCTCTGTTTTGACAATTTAATTTGGTCCCAGCATGTAGTACCTTTTTGGAAGGGAGTTGCTATACTCCAAGTGAAATCACACTTCCTAAATTCACTCTTGAACAATCTAACTGTAATTTTAAAATTCTGTCCGTCTGTTCTGGTTCTTCCAAAGGAAGTAGCTTCTCTGTATCTACTTACCTTTTATCATTTTAAAGACTTCTATCATAGAGCATGCCCACACATTTCTAAAGACAAGAGAATCTAAGGCATACTTAAGGGGGAAGTGGGCATTCCAAGCCCACCCCTGCCTGTCTACATCATATAATCAGTTACAATGTGACTTTAAACGCAATGTGCAAGTGGGAGGAACACTTCTGCAATCAGGTTATATTTATAGTCACTACAGAAACATCAGCTAACCACAGGCTGCAAATGGACATTTGACAATCTAAAGTTTACTCAAATGCACTTGTAAATGAGACACCTGTGTTAACAGAGTCATGGACAAGCACAGAGAATGAGGCAACAGATTTCAGCCAGAAGATGCTGACAGAGAATGCCCTGTGTGTAAGCCAATATGTTGGATCGGGGAATATGCTTACTATTATGGGATGATCTTCCCAGAAAAAAATTATCCCTCAATGTGGAGACAATCAAATATGATCTGAAGTGACTGTGGAGCCTTCACTCGACATACTTTACCATACTCAAAGTTACTAGTGTCAGAGAATAGCCAAGTTCTTTACCCCTGGGTGGGAGAGTCCAAAGCTAGAGGGCATAGGCTTAAGGTGAAAGGGAAAAGATACAAGAGGGACCTAAGGGGCAACTTTTTCCACACAAAGGGTGGTACAATTATAACAGTTAAAAGGCGTCTGGATGGGTTCATGAATAGGCAGGGCTGAGAGATTTATGGATCAAATGCTGGCAAATTGAACTTATTAATTTAGGATATCTGTTCAGCATGGAAGAGTTGGACCAAAGAGTATTTTTCTGTGCTATACAACTCTATGACTATGACCCTATGTAATATTGACAAGGCTGTGCAGCAAACCAGTGTGTAGATGATATTATGTTAACTGTTAAAGTCTTTAAAATTATTATCCACTCACATTTCCTTCCCCCTCACAAACATCACCACCTGATCAGTGTAATTCTTTGGAGGTTGCTAAACTTTTAATCATTTACTGGGAAAGCCCTCAGTTTCTGCCATTTGGTGCAACTGTTGCTTAACCCTCAAGGGCAACAAACATTTGTCGTGCAAAAAAGATCAGAAGTGCAGCGTTCCAGAATCTCTGACCAAAGTGCAGACCCCAATTGAGAATTTAATGTTAACTTGGTCCAGGATTTTCACAAAAGTCATATGCAGAACTCCAAAAATACAGGTTTGACAGCAATACTGCAACATCAGGGCACCATGGTGGCTCAGTGGTTAGCACTGCTTCCAGGGACCCGGGTTTGATTCCAACCTTGGGTGACTGTCTGTATGGAGTTTGCACATTCTCCCCGTGTCTGCATGGGTTTCCTCTCATAGTCCAAAGATGTGCAGGCTAGGGTGGATTGGCCATGCTAAATATACCATAGCATCCGGGGATGTGCCGTGGGAAACACAGGGTTACAGGGGTAGGGGTGGGGGTGGATCTGCATGGGATGTTCTTTGGAAGGTTGGTGTGGCCGAATGGACGGCTTCCACACTGTAGGGGTTCTGTGAAGAAATGTTCAAGCACAGCTCAAGTTCAAAAGGTTGCTGATTGTACAGAGTCTTTAGTGATTACAATGCAGCAATCTTTTCCATATGATCAGAGGCAGAGTTGGTTCAACCCAATTTTCTTTGAAATTAAAACAGATTGCAAGTATGTAAACTCCCCACCACTTCAAAGGCTGAAAACCTCATTTGCAAGAGGGGACCTGAATTAGACTGTGATACTTACCTCAAGCTTAGCTTCATTCAGACCTTCACAGTTTATTTTCAGTTCAACTATTTGTTTCAACCACGTCACCAGCGTTTCAATTTCTCCAGAGAGCTCCTTTGTCTACAAAAAAAATGATGTTTAAACATTTAAAAAGACAGTTGCTGAAAGGGAAGGATTTCACTTGCCTTTAGTGGTCAGAAAAATCTAACATTATATTCACTTTTACTTTATCTTACTGTAAAAGCACAGATAATTAGTGGAAGATGATTTACATGAAGAACATTTATGTGAAGGTACAAATGATTGAACTAATTTTTTTTGTTCTAATTTATCTTATTAATTTAAATCGATTACAGACACATGCATCAATTTCTTCATTTGGTCACTGTGGAATGTGGGTGTCACTGACTGGACCAGCATTTAATATCCATCCCCAATTTCCCCAGAGGTGCCTTCTTGAACTGGTGCAGTCTATTTGACGTGGGTCAGCCACAGCGGGGTTTGGAAAGAATTCCACTTGACTCAGCGAAAGTGAAGTGACAGTGATATAGTTCCAGGGCAGGATGTTGTGCGGCTTGACATTTGTGGCCCTTGCCCAGAGTAAGGGAGAGGTTCCGGATTTGGACGGTACAGTTGAGGGAAGACTTGTGAATTGCTAGAGTCGTATCTTGCAAACGGCACACTGCATGTCACTGGAGAGTGTGAATCGGGTGCCAATAAGGACAGCTCCTTGGAGTGGAATTGCACTCATCCAAGCAAGTACAGAGCATAGTGTAAGGTGGTGAGTTATTCTTCACAGAATTCCCCACCTCTGACCTGCTCTATGGCTGCCCCAGTTTACTTTCTGGTCAATGGTAACTCCTAGGATGTTGATAGTGGGGTAATCAAAATGACAATAAATGCGAAGGAGAGATTGTTAGATTCTCTCTGTTGGAGAATATTACAACATGGTGTCAGATCTTTAAATTGGACAGAATATGACATAACTCCAGAAGTGGGATCAGATGCATCACACTTCTCAATTCCAGTAAAAGTACAACAAAGTGGTAATCAGAATGCCTATACTTATTTTATCTTTGATCCCTATATTTCGTGCAACCAGCCACTAAAACAATGTAGAAACAATGCATGAAAGTGATATCGAACAACAACAGGAGGCCAGCAAAATGACTTGATTGTTCTCTATCACTTCCAATCAATCTGATACCATGGTTATTTGGCCTCTTCAATTCTTCCCATAATTCTGCTATGTACACCACATCATCTGACAAACACCTACCGAGTCAAAAAACAAAGACGTGGATGAGAGAGTTTGAGAAATTGTTATCGGTTCATTTATCTAAGAAGGCATCCTTGCCTTAGACTCACAAATGCATTACATTCCAAACACAGCACAAAGTTGTTTAACTCATCATGTGCTGATCCTACAAACAACTCAAAACAGAAGGTATACATAATGTTCCTTTATAAATTACCTGCCAACAACTTGCAGTTACATAGATAGTGTGGAGCTGGAGGAACACACCAGGTCAGGTGACAGAGGAGCAGGAAAGTTGACTTTCAGGCCAGCATTTCTGAAGAAGGGTCCCAACCCAAAACATCAACCTACCTGCTCCTCTGATGCTGCCTGGCCTGCTGTGTTCCTCTAGCTCCACACTGTTATCTCTGACTCCAGCATCGGCAGTCTTACCATCTCTGTTGCAGTTACATAGAGCCTTTGACACAGCAAACTAATAGCACAGAAAAAAAAAAAAAAAAAAAAAAAAAAAATTCCTTTGGTCCATTATGTCCATACTGGTCAAAAACAAAATCACCTCACCATTCTAATCCTATTTTCCAGCACTTGACCCACGGCCTCACATGCTCCGGCATCACAACTGTACACCTAAATACTTCTTAATGCCTCTATCACACTTAGTGAGTTCCAGATTCTGGGTCAAAAAGGTTTTCGTCACATCGCCTCTAAACCTTCTGCTCCTTATCTTAAATCTATGCCCCCTCCCCCCCCCCACCAAAACCACAAACAGCTATGGTCCCAATACTGACCTCTGTGGGACCCCACTGGACAGACTTCCAGATGGAAAAACACCTTCCAAACATCATTCTCTGCTTCCTGCCACTCAGCCAGTTGGGGATCCAATTTGCCAAATTTCATTGAATCCCATGGCCTGTTAACTTTGCTATTAGTCTGCAATCATTTCACAGGAAAGTTTTCAGACAAATTTTGATACCAAGTCACAAACAGCTTTCAGAACAGATAACGGAAAGCTCAGATTCTAAGGGGCATCTTAAGTGAAAGAAGACAGGTAAACTTGCAGAGAGTTAGGGAGGGAATTCCATAGCTCAGGCAGGCCAAAGCCTTCGAGGTGTTTTAAGTAGGATGATGCAAGATTTAAAGCAGAGGCATTGGTAAATCAATAACCAATGTGGGCCGACAATGAATAAACAGCAATTGGTGAGAACTGGAGGTAGGTAGAGTCTCAAATTAATTCGAGTTGAAGGAGACTAGAAGGTAGGAGCAATAGTCGAGCCTGTAATCTTTGATCTAAATGTTCCTTTTCTCCATCTCTTCTCTAGATGGTAGAGCTAATAAAATGTATAACTATGGCATTCCTTTAGCACAAGATAATGGCATTAATCACAGGGATGCCTAAAGAGGCAGCTGCACTGAAGACAACTTTGGAACATTAAGAGATGATCTAGAAAACCCCACCTTCTGCAACTAAATGTTAAATGCATAACTTTAGCATCAGTGCACTCAAGTACAATTTGACAGGGGACACAAATGGGCAGAGGAAATGCAACAATGCAAGCTACAAACAGGTTGATGTGATGGATCTAGCGTTAGGGTGAAGGAAGTTAGCGTACTGTGTGTGCTAGCCTGCTTCTCATTTTCAGTCAATAGCAGAAGTGCAAACAAAGCCAAACGTACAAATCTTTCCTCTTCAAAGCACAGCATCCCTGTCAAAAGCCATTAGGTTTGCCTCCTCTTGGCAACACAAGGAAACCAGGTCCCTTGCTGCCCCATTTTAAAAAGTTTGTGCTTTTCTGATGTGCAGTTTGCTGGTGCACTAACATGAATGAACCAAACTCCCAGTGATGAGCAAATAGCTCAAAAGTTAGGCAGCTCCCCAGTGATACAGGCCTAATTTCTCTTTCCTGAAAGAATGCCCTGATATCAGGAGTTTATGGACACTGATCTCGACAGGGTGACTCTTTGTCCAACTAACGTTAGGCATTCCCTGGGATGGGGGATTTTAAGACTAGGGGGAAAACTTAAGGTAAGAGGAGAGAGATTTAAAAAACACATGGGCAATTTTTTTTTTTTTTTTTTAAAAAAAACACAGAGGGTGGCTCATGTGGAATGAACTTCCAGAGGAAGTGGTGGATGTAGGCACAATTACAATGTTTAAGATACTTAAATAAGCACATAAATAGGAAAGGTATGGAGGGATATGGGCCAGGTGGGACTAACTTAGTTTGGGATTATGTTCAGCATGAACTGATTGGACAGAAGGGTCTGTTTCCATGCTATGTGACTGACAGCATCACCACTGATCTGATCAGAAATTGCTCTAAATTGTGATCTACATTTCAGAAGGAAGTTTTCCAGTTTGTGATAACTATGTCACAAAGACAAAGACAATCTAAAAGCTCCTTCAAGGTGGCATTGTGGCAAATCCACAAGATGCTATATTAAGTCATCCAGAAGTTACAGTTGGATATCAGCTCTATATTGAGTCATAAGCATAAACACCACCATTTCCTAGTGACTTCATTCTGAAGAAGGGTCACCAGACCCGAAATGTTAACTCTCCTTTCTCTCCACGGATGCTATCAGATCTGCTGAGTTACTTCAGCAATTTCGGTTTCTGTTTCAGATCTCCAGCACCCACAGATCTTGGTTTTACATTACATGCATGGGAGTGAATGTTGACTTCAGTGAGAGAATTCAGAGCCATTTTCTTGCTGGGAGTGGCTCCTGGTTGAGCATTATGTATAGAGAGCTGCCATAACAGCCTGGGATTTGTTTACTCAAACACAATAACCTTGAGCTCACAGTGAAGTATTTCATGTTAGGAAAAGATTTGATTGGGTAGCAATAGAGAAAAGGTTTCCACTTAGGAGAATATACTTTTTAAACTGAGTTTGGAACACCAGATCAAAGGACGGGAAATGAAAGCACATTTTGCTTCCTCACTTGCTTGGAAATTGTTAAATCCTGAATATTTTCCTGTTTGGATGAAAAGACCTGAAATGTGAACTCATATTCACTACTCACAAATGTTGCCTGACCTGCTGAACGTTTCCAGAATTTTTTTAATATAATTTTCGTTTCAGATTTCCAACAACAGCTGTATTTGACTTTGGTGTTGCTGTCAGGGTCTGTACAACATCTCAGCAAAGTACTGCCAGGAATCTGTGACTATATCCCAGGTAGAATCATCACCTTAAAAACAGGCAGAACTAAGGGGAGATTCTAGAGGTTTTGGCTTATGCAAAGAATAACAAATCAATAATGGGAAGACCACTTTGTTTCCAGGCTTCAAGTGGGTTTGCATTTGACACCTTTTCAAATTTATTGGCTTCATTATTAAACTTTATTCAAGAATGTCTTAGCAGTAGATTGGTAGGAACATGTGCATAGGAATACAAACAATTCCCGATTTATATGCTTTGAAAACAAAAATTCAAGATGTATTCATTATCAGACAGCCCTACCAGGAACTGTTCAACTCGTCACTCATCTTGTTTGTTCCATTATGGAGGAAGACAAGAATAGCATTGTGGTGGTGGTGGGGTGGTGGTGGATTGGTGGGGGGGGGGGGGGCGGTGCAGGGGTTGTATCACCTCAGTCACACACTAATCGCGCCCCCATAATTACCACGGTGCCTTCACTGTTTCCACACCAACATCCCAAACTTTTCTATTGGTTACCATTGTGGGAGTACCCTCACCACACAGACTCTAATGTGAGGAAAAAGCAACAGCTACTTTCATAGGACCCTCACAGGGTGGAAGCAGGCCATTCAGCCCGAGTCCACACTGACCCTCTGAAGAGAGTGTTTCACCGAGACCAGAGCTCCTACCCAATCCCTGTAACCCTCAATTTCCCATGGCTAACCCACCTAGCCAGCACATCCCTGGACACTACGGGCAACTTAGCATGGCTAATCCTGCACATCTTTGGACTGTGGGAGGAAGCCAGAGCACCCGGCAGAAACCCACGCAGACACAGGGAGAACGTGCAAACTCCATACAGACAGGGACCCGAGAGTGGAATCAAACCCAGGTCCCTGGCGCTGTGAGGCAGCACTGCTAATCACCGAGCCACCATGCTGCCACTTTCTCACTGTGCTGAAATTGTGAGGACAAACTTCCCTTTTACCACCAATGCACACATTACTAGAACTAAAAGCACACCTATCTGCCATATTCACCAACAGAGATTGTAGGATTCTGTGTGATTGATCTTATTGATGTGCATGTGACCAGAGAAATGAGCAAAGACTTGCTTCAACAGTGCAGTATGTGTTAACAAGCTGAGAGTGCATTCAGTACTGAGTCAGGAATGGCTCATTGCAATGACCCGAGTGAAATCTGGATAGTGTTTGCACCGAGGGCGTGCTGCAGTGTCAGGGTGGTCATGATTTCAGCCGAGATATATAACCAAAGGCCAGTTTTAACACATCAGGTTAAAAGTAAAAGACACCTTGCACTATTTTGTCGGTCACCTACAGCAGTTTAAGAAGGCAGCACACCACCATCTTCTCAAGGACAACTAGGGATGGGCAATAAGTGCCGTCCCAGCAGCAACATCCTTGCCCCTTGAGTGAACAAAAAAGCCCAAAATTTGAACAGCAGCAAGAACATACTCCCTGGTGTCTACCCAAAAATTTAAATCTCAAAACAACACCATGAAAAAGAAGAACTCCTGGTCATTTAATCTAGCATATATTTTGATATGTGAATGTTGGTCACCGTATCTGCCTTTCAAGCAATGTTGAGTGATTTGTTGGCTGTGAAGTGTGTGAGAAATGCTAAAAAAAAAAATGTTCTTGGGGGTTTTACAGTTATTTCACATAATGATATCAAAATTTGCACATTAGTGCTCAGGTCTGTAAGAGAATGCATTGAGCCTATAGCCCTGATTGCAAAGGGAGAACGCTATTGCTGGCACGATCAGTCACAACCTCCCTCTGCCTTCTTCACAACATTAAACTACACCAAACAAGGAAAGCTTCAAATAAAATTAAAAATGGCAAAGACTGGAAAATGTTCAGTAGATCAGGCAGCTTCTGTGAAGAGAAATATTTGAGTTAACATTTCAGGTCAGTGAACTTCTGTTCTGGGAGAAAGTCATTGTCCTAAAATGTTAACTCTGGGCAGTATCTTATCAGGGTCTGAGCGACGTGAATTATCGAGAGGTTTTAAAAATAGCACTGGATCTCAGGGGAGCAGCGAGCAGCTCTAGAAAAACGAGTGTAAGATGGTGCGGAAATTGGATGCGCTTCTCATCATGAGAGCTCAAACGTCAATTAACGTGGTGACTCGAGCTCATGGCGAGATTCACGCCACTAAAAACTCTACGTAACTCCAACTTTGAGGAAAAACCCATAAGACATCTCCTTCTGTCTCCAAAAAAGCCAGGATCATCCAGTTCAGTACTGCTCCTGGCTCCCAGCTCTGGACCCTGAACTGCACAGAGGGGTTGCACAGAGCTCTAGGCCCCAGCGACTGGAGTTGATGTGTCCCACACCCACACCTACCCCCATCTCCCTGGGCCCTGGTATCCACAAGACCTGCTGAAAACTTTGAGCATTTTTCATCCTTACTTCAGGTTTCCAGCATCTGCAGCATTTTGCATTTCTACAGGGGAAAATCTTACCATCTGAGTTGTGATCGTTTTGAATCGAATAGTGGCCTCCTCTGTCCTAGGACCTTGCATTAGCATTAAGACCTCCTTATCCAGGGTCTCATCAAAGGTGCATTCAGAGACCGTTGACCATTCAGAACTGTCCACCTTAGAAAGAAAGTTGCACAAAACACCGTCACGTATTTCAGAAGTGACATTCCCAGTACAATTCGATGCAAGCTTTCAAATAAGTACACTGACCTATTTTCCTGTACTGAAACACCCAGAATCAAACATCATGAAAGAGAGAGGCACAAAACTGAAGCTTGCCGGGACTCAAGATGACTTTGTTTCTCCTTTCAGCAATGTTTAAGGTCAGTACATCCAGACACAACTAGTCAGTAAAGCTTCAATTCAAAAACTGTTTCTAGGCATGCTGACAAAGTTTGATCTTCATATGTTAAAACAAGTCTGCATATTATACAACTAATTTAAAATAAACCAACTGAAAATGATCAATGTTTACAGACAGTAGAGGCAGAAAACAAGCTTTTTTGATACGAAATGCACTATAATTATATGGAAGAGACCACTGGCTCTTGTCACAAGAATCATGAGCAGAAACTCCCCGCTGCTCACATCAGGAACCTTCGCAACAATATCTTTATCTTTTAAAACCTAGTAAAGGGGAGACTGCGACAGATTCCCTTAACATGTTTCCTTTACTATAATACTGTATAAGAACCATCGTAGAAAATCCCCAACTACATCCAGCAAAATCCATGAAATCATATTTGCCCATTTGTACCAGCATCAGCTGTTTGCCTCCATTCCTGCTGACTCAGCCCCAAAGCTCTGTAAATGACTCCTTTTCAAGTATTGACTCAGCTTCCTTTTGAAAGTCGTATTTGAATCTGTTGCCAACACTATTTTAGGCAGCGTATTCCAAATTGAAACAAATCAGAGATGGCGGCAGTGGCACAGTGGATCACAAAAACATACAAACATGACAATTAGGAGCATGAAGTAGGCCAGTCAGGCCCTCGAGTGTGCTGTGCCATTAATAAAGACAATGGCTGATCTGGTTGTAACCTCAAATCTGCATTCCCATCTATCCCTGATGAGGTTTCACTCCTTCTTAACAAAAATCTATTGAGCTCTGCCTTAAAAATATACAAGGATTTTGCGTTCACTGATTCACAGGGTCAGAGTTCCAAAGACTCTAAACCCTGAGAAATATTTCACCTTGTCTGTTTGAAATGGGCGACCCCTGATTTTAAACGGTGACACCTATTTCTGTATCTCCTATAAATGGAAACATCTTCAGGTGAATGAAGAAAAAACTGCTTCCAAAGCACTTACATCTTTCCAAAATAAGGTGAACCATACTGTACATACTTTGAGATGTAGCCTCACCAAGGCCTTTAATTTAATCATGAGATGGGCATTTCTGGCTGGTCCAGAATTTATTGCCTGTTCCTCATTGCCCTTGAAAAGGTGGTGGAGAGTTGTTGCCTTGAACTGTGCTTTTCCATGTGCAGTAGGCACACCTCAATGCTGTTAGGGAGGGAGCTCCAAGCTTTTGACCCAGCCACACTGAAGGAACAACAACACATTTCCAAGTCAGGATGGTGAGTGCTTAGAGGGGAACTTGCAGGTGGTGACATTTCTGTGTATGTGCTGTCTTTGTCCTTCTAGATGGAAGTGGTCCTATGTTTGGAAGGAGCTGTCTAAGGATCTTGGCAAATTTCTGCAGTGCATCTTGTAGATAGTACACACTGCAGCTACTGAGTGTCAGTGGTGGGGGGGGAGTGGATGTGGTACCAATCAAGCAATCTGCTTTGTCCTAGATCGTGTCAAGCTTTGAGTGTTGTTGGGACTGCACTCATCTAGGCGTGGAGAGTATTCCTCCATACTCCTGATTTGTACACTGTCAATGGTGGAGGGGCTTTGGGGAGTCAGGAGATACATTAATGGATGGTGATAGTGAGGATTCACTGATGGTAGCACTATGAAACATCAAGGGGTGGTGGTCAGATTGCCTCTTATTGGAGACATGTGGCACGAATGTTACTTGCCACTAGGCAGCCTAAGCCTGGATATTGTTGCATTTGAACATGGACTGCTTTAGTATCTAAGGAGTCATGAATGGTGCAGAATTGTATAATCAGCAGCGAATTTCCCCACTTCTGACCTCATGATGGAGGGAAGGTCATTGATATAGTAACTGAAGATGGTTGGGCATAGAACACTACCCTGAGGATCCCCTGGAGCTGGGATGACTAACCTCCAACAACCACAACCATCTTCCTATATGTTAGGTATGACTCCAATTAGCAGACAGTTTTCCCTCTACTTCCCATTGATTCCAATCTTGCTAGGGACACTCCATCAAACATGGCCATTATGTCAAAGGAGTCACTCTCCCCTCACCTCTAGAATTCAGCTCTTTTGACCATGTTTGACACAAGGCTGTAATGAATAACTGAAGCATTACCATCCCTACTTTTGTATTCCAATGCCCTTGTGATAAACAATAACATTCAATTATTTATCTACTTACTTACTGTAACTAATGTCACTGGGAGAGTAATCTAGAACTCCAGGCTAATGTACTGGGGCATTGACTTGAATCCTACAAGGGCAGATAGTGCAATTTGAATTTAAAATCTGGAATTAAAGGTAGCCTAATCACACCCATGCTGAGTGTTGTAAAAGCCTATCTGGTTCACAACATCCAGGCAGGAAATCTGCCGTCCTTCCCTAGTCTGGCCTTTATGTGACTCCAGCACCACAGCAATGTGGTTGACTTTTAACTGCCCTTTGAAATCATAGAAACCTAGAGAGAGTGTGGAAGCAGGCCATTTGGCCCATCGAGTCCACGTCAACCCTCCGAAAAGCATCGCACCCAGACCCACCCCCCAACCCTACCCCTGTAACCCTGCATTTCTCTTGGCTAATCCACCTAGCCTGCACATTCCTGGTCACTACATGGCAATTTAGCATGGCCGACCCACCTAACCTGCACATCTTTGGACTGTGGCGGGGTGGGGGGTGGGAAGCCAGAGGAAACCCATGCAGACAGGGGGAGAACATGCAAATCCCTCACAGACAGTCGCCCAAGGCTGGAATTGAACGCGAGTACCTGAAGCTGTGAGGCGACAGTCTAACCACGGAGACACCTGGCTGCTCCAGGCCAGGTAAGCCGCTCTGTTCAAATGTCCCAGGTTTTAAATGTTTCCGGTGTGAATAGAAAGGGAGGTAAAAGGGGTGGGGGAGTTGCAATACAGGTAAAGGAGTATCACACAGCTGTATCGTGGGAGGATATATCAGAGGACTTGTGCAGTGAGACAATGTGCGTAGGACTCAAGAACAGGAAAGTGAAATCACAATGCTGGGGTATACTACTCTCCCAGCGACCAGTGGGAGATAGAGCAGAGGTTGTGTAGACAGATTTTGAAAAGATGTAAAAACAGCAGGGTTGTGGTGGGTGATTTTAACTTCCTCTGTATTGACTGGGACTCCCTATGTGTTAGGGACTTGGATGGAGCAGAATTTATAAAGGACCACTCAGGAGGGTTTCTTAACACAATATGTAAACAGTCCAACCAGGGAAGGGGTTATACTGGACCTGGTTTTGGGAAATGAGCCTAGCCAGGTGAAGGAAGTTTCAGTAGGGGAGCATTTCAGGAGTAGTGACCATAACACTGAGTTTTAAGATAGGGATAACACCAGTCCTCGGGTGAAGGTGTTAAATATTGGGGGGTGGGGGGAGAAGAGAGAGAGAAGGTGAACTACAAGAATATTAAGCAGGAAATGGAGAATGTTGATTGGAGACGGCTGTTTGAGGGTAAATCTACATTGGACATGTGGGAGTATTTCAAATGTCAGTTGATAAGAGTTCGGGGCGGCACGTTCCTGCGAGGATGAAAGATAGGTATGGCAAGTTACATGAACCTTGGAACGACCAGGGATGTTATGATCTTGGTCACAAAGAAAAAGGAAGCATACATAATGTCTAGGAGGATGGGAACTGATGAAGCTCTTGAAGTGTATAAAGGAAAATAGGAAAAAGACTTAAACAAGGAATTAGAAGGGCTAAAAAGGGCTCATGGAAAGTGGTTAGCAAATAGGATTAAGGAGAATCCTAAGTTTTTTTTAATAAAAAGCAAGGAGAGTGGCTAGGGAAAGGATTGGCCCACTCAAGGACAAAGGAGGGAATCTACATGTCGAGCCTAAAGAGGTAAGTGAGGTTCTAAACAAAGTACTTATGTCCATATTCACCAAAAAGAGAAAGGATTGGTGGAGGATGATCTCAGGGAAGGGAGTGTTGAGTTTTTAAGCCAAATTGCTATTATAAAGGAAGAGGTGTTCCCGGTCTTAAAAACGGGTTAAGGTAGATAAGTCCTTGGGTCCTGATGGGGTCTATCCCAGAATACTGAAGGAGGCAAGAGAACAAATTGCTGGAGTATTGACAGACATCTTTGTATCCTCTTTGACCACAGGTGAAGTCCCAGAGGACTGGAGAATAGCTAATGTTGTCCCATTGTTTAAGAAGGGTAGCAGGGATATTACAGGCTTGTAAGCCTCACGTCAGCGGTAGGGAAATTATTGGTAAAGATTCTCAGGGACAAGATCCATACGCATTCAGAAGCAAATGGACTTAATGACAAACAACATGGTTTTGTGCGGGGGAGGTCATGCCTCACTAACTTGATCGAGTTTCTTGAGGAGGTGACAAAGATGATTGATGAGGGAAAAGCGGTTCAAGTTATCTACATGGACTTCAGCAAAGCCTTTGACAAAGTCCCTTATGGCATACTGGTACAAAAGGTGAAGTCACATGGTATCAGGGTGAGCTGGCAAGATGGATACAGAACCAGCTTAGTCATAGCAGACAGAGGGTAGCAGTGGGAGGATGCTTTTCAGAATGGAGGGTTGTGACTAGTGATGTTCCATAGGGATCAGTGCTGGGACCTCTACTGTTCATGGTCTACATAAATGATTTGGAGGAAAACGTGGCTGATCTAATTAGTAAATTTATGGACGACACAAAGATAGGTGGAGTTGCGGAGAGTGAGGAGGATTATCAGAGGATACAGCGGGATATAGATCAGGTGGAGGCATGGGCAGAAAAATGGCAAATGGAGTTTAATCTGGACAAATGAGAGATGATGCATTTTGGAAGGTCAACTACAGGTGGAAATTATACAGTGAATGGCAGAATCCTTAGGAGTATTGATATGCAGAGGGAACTGAGTGTGCAGGTCCACAGATCACTGAAGGTAGCAGTGCAGGTAGATAAGGTAGTGAAAAAGGCCTATGGCATGCTTGTCTTCATTGGAAGGAGCACGGAGTACAAGAATAGGCAATTTATGCTGCAGCTTTATAGAACTTTAGTTAGGCCACACTTGGAATATTACGTACAGTTCTGGTGACCACACGACTAGAAGCATGTGGATGCTTAGGAGAGGGTACAGAAAAGGTTTACCAGGATGTTGCCTGGTATGGGGGAGTTTAGCTACAGAGAATGGTCGGATAGACTGGATTTGTTTTCACTGGAACGCAGGAGGTTGAGGGGGCAACCTGGTAAAAGTTTAAAAGATTGTGAATGGCATGGACAGTGTGGAAAATATGAGGCTTTTCCCCAGGGTGGAGAGGTCAATTACTAGGGGACACAGGTTCAAGGTACGAGGAAGTTTCAAAAAAAAAAAAAGAAGAAAAAAAAAAAAAGTGCGAGGCAAGTTTTTCACACAAAAGGGTGGCGAGTGCCTGGAACGCACTGCCAGAGGTGGTGGTGGAAGCAGACACAATAGCAGCATTCAAAAAGCACCTGGGTGAATAGGAAGGGAATAGAGGGATAAGGATCCTGCAAGTGAAAACAATTTTAGAATGGAAGGGCAAAATGTGGCAGTGCAGGCTTGAAGGGCTGAAGGGCCTGTTCCTGTGCTGTATTGTTCTTTGTTCAAGTGCAAAGATGAACGACAACAAATGCTGGCCTTGCTAGTGATGCCAAAATCCCGAAAGATCGGCAAGATTAGGAGGAGTTCTTCAATGACCTTACCTCAAAAACACATTGAGCATTTAAAAGCTCTGACTGCAAGGAGCTTGGTCTCTTGGTTAGGTCGTGTCCATCTTGGGGCATTTCCGGCAACTTAATGCACTCGCTACAAACAGTAAGAGACAATATAAATGAGTTGCTAGCATCTCAATGTAATTAAGTTGTTGTTCAGGATCATTACTCACGAAGCTAACTCCTGTTGTGTTAGCAGTTGATTTTCTAATTTTGTCTTCTCCATTCTCAAGGCCTGAAAGGATATTCAAGGCAGGTATTTAGACAAGAGGTTGTTTCTTCTTTTGTTTTTTTTTTGTTATTAGAAATAAAATCGTACCTCTACCACCAAGGAATATTCAACAATGGAATTCTTAAGTTCCTCAATATGATTATCCCTCTGTAATGAAAGAAGACTCTTTTAAATTACAAATAAACGTATCCTTCTTTCCATTCCCTACCCAGAAAATACACAAATTGAGAAGGAATAATATTGACTCCTGCGCTGCATAGATCCCAGTTTTCACTCTCTTTAAGATGTTAAGATATATTCAGACAAAATTGCAAGATGTTTAGCCAGAATACAGTTTTCCTTATTCTTTGAAAATAACAGATGTGTTGTCTAGGCTTTGCAAATTAGTTGAGGTGCTGCCCTGGAGAATGTACCAGAAGACAATTGCCCTCCATGACTATCAAACATTCGAGCATTAGGTGAAGCTGGCCTTCTCATGCTGCTATGATGCAGGAGCAACATAAGTGATACTCACCTCTAAGAGGATGCTAGGGGCTGTCTGTTAACCACATGAATGAGTAATGCAGTATAAGAATTCCAGCTCCAGTGCAATGTAAGGTACACAAGGCCATATGACCCAATCTCTGGCAGGCTACATCAAAAAACATGGTACAGCCATTCACAAACGCAGAGTATAGACAGTAATTTACCAGCCTGTGCTTCTGTAACTCAGCACAGTGATAAATGCTGGTCTTGATTCTGCGTACTTATAGTATAATCCCAAGTATGCTAAGAATTACCCTAAATACCAATTTAAGATCATCGTTTGGGCTCAAGTATCTTTATAGAAGCTACATATAGTCATACAGAGGAGCCTGTCCTCTATAGGCAAAGAAACACACGTAGAGATTGTGCATTTTTTCAAAATGCATGGCGGTAGGTGTGTGACAATAGTTCTGATGCACTTTCCATAGCAACAAGTCTACCAGAGTTGATTTGATTGTGTTGTGAGGAAGGGTCACTGGACCCGAAACATTAACTCAATTTTCTCTTCACAGATGCTGCCAGACCTGCTGAGCTTTTCCAGCAACTTCTGTTTTTGGTTCTTGATTTGACAACCAATCAGCTCGCCCATTTTCAAAGTGTTGCTCCCTTTGAAATCCTTTCATTACTACCAATGACTTAGGTTAAAAAGCATCCATAGCATGTCTGTTTACAGCAATATCCGAGCTCCATACTAGCAAGTGACTGTTCTTTTTAAGACTTGGCGACAGAAACAAAGAAGTGGCCGGTCAAGGACAAAAACAACATCAATTCTCTTGACATTCCTTTTTCCGATACACGTGCAAGTATTGCATCAAAAGGGACAATTTCCCACTCTGGGACCTCCTGCATGATTTCCATCAACAGCGTTACTGTTTTATCCAAAAGGAAAACAAAAAAATTTAGGAGGGCAAAGTTTAACAACATGAGGAAACCTTTCAGGATAAGATGAATCACTATGTTGCCACCCCATGCCAGCTGTCTGATATTGTCTTGTTGAATTACATCTGGAAGTGTATGCCAAAATTTCAGGAGACTGCTCTAAGCATGACACGCAGGTCCACATTCCAGCCCTGGCCCTTGGCTGAACTAGTACCGCACACACCTAGCCCCTCAGGGTCCTGAGCTAACCCAACAACTGGTTTTAATGAGTGATGTAAATTAATCATCCTTATTGGAGTGGGAAGTCCAAAATGAACATTTGAGCAGGATGACAGGTGGGGAAGTGTGGTTTAAGAGAGGGGGTGGAGTTAGGTAAACAGGAATTAAACAGGTAGGTTATTTCTGACAAGGACTGCTTACAAAAACATAACGGAGATAGACGTTGCATTCAAAAGTAAAACCTGGATAACCCAGATGTTAGGGTCATTTCAAAAAGTTAGAAGAGCCACTCTGATCAACATGACATCTGCTTGACCCAAGAGAGATTGCAAATTTAGCAAATACATTTTACATAAAAATAATACAGACCTCGAGCAAAGCTGCGTCCTTGTTATGCACTAGATTGTCAAGATCAGTTAACCGCATCTGAGGGAGGAAGAAGAAGAATAGATTAAAGTTTTCTCAATGGAAATTGAAAAAAGTGTTTCAGCTGAGGACAGCTAAGGGGCTTTTTCTCCCTGGAGAATTGAAGGCTGAGGAGTGACCTTATAGAAGTTTATAAAATCATGAGGGGTATGGATAGGGTGAATAGCCAAGGTCTTTTTCCCCATGGTGGGGGAGTCTAAAACTAGACCAGAGCTAGACACTGTAGATGCAGGGAGGATGTACCCGATGGTGGGTGCATCCAGAACCAGGGGTCCCAGTATGAGGATTTGGGATAGACGATTTAGAACAGAGATGAGGAGACATTTCTTCACCCAAAAAGAGTGGTGAGCTTGTGGAATTCATTACCACGAAGTATTTGATGGCAAAACACAATGTATTCAACAGGCGGCTAGATATAGCACTTGGGGTGAATGGGATCAAAGGTTACAGGGAGAAAGCAGGATTAGGCTATCGAGTTGAATGATCACCCATGATCGTGATGAATGGCGGAGCAGGCTCGAAGGGCCGAATGGCCGCCTCCTGCTCCTATCTTCTGTGTTTCTACGTAGAGGGCACAGGTCTAAGGTGAGAAGGAATAAATTTAAAAAGGGACCTGAAGAAGGGCAACTTTTTCACACAGAGGGTGGTACAATTACAACATTTAAAAGACACCCAGATGGATACATGAATAAGAATGGTTTAGAGGAATGGACAGGTTGGACTGAAGGGCTAGTTTTAGTGCTGTACAATTCTATGAGTCAATGACTCTATGACACGCACAATATTAATTTAATTGCCATATTTAGTTTGAAACCTGCATAAACTGCTCTCACTTGTGGTACACTGCTTTAAAAACTACTTCTGATGATCAACCACAGAAATGAAAGTATATCTTTTAAGCTTCAAATATTGCATCAATTTTATACAAAATCAAACTTGACAAAAACAGTAGGATACACTTTCCCCGCCAACCGCAAGTCAGAAACTTGTCAGAAGTGGCTCAGTCAAGCTTCCACTAAAATAAATTTACATAATCCCAAATGGTATACAATTATTTCACACACCCATAGTTGAGCAGTTGAGCAGCAATGGTAACCTACTGCAATTTTATTAATTCAGCAGAAAATCACCAAAAATAGCTATTTTTCACAATTTTTTCAGACCTCCTCATTGCAAACAACCTGATTTAAAGTCTCAATTTCTTTTAAACTCACACTGATCCATTTAATAATGGTTTGTTCATTCGTTAGAGCGAATTAAAGAGTCCCCATCTGTCTAAGAAAATAAGCAGAATTTTGACAAGCCTTCCCTAACTAGTTCAATTGGCAAAGTCCAGTTGCAGCAAGTGCCCGATTTGAATGAATTGAATCTCGAACGATGTAAAAGATCACAAAACAAAACCCAAGTAAGATTTTCCAAAAACTCATGCTTAAAATTTTTTCATCTTTTACGCTAGTTTGGTAAATTCTGCTCAGATATGACTTGCTAATGCTAATGACATGCTAACCTAAATGATTGGTTGAGCATGTTCCCAGTAAACAGATGCCACGCTGAATTCAGTTTGGGATGTTTTAGTGTGGTCACCTAACGAAGGACGTGTGGGACACGTTACCGAGAAGCGAATCCTCTCTAGATCCTGTTGCACCTCGTAGTTTGCTTTGTTCTGACCATCAATTAGGGAAAGGTTGCTTGGAGCCAGAGTGCAATACAAGTCATTATGCTGCAACTAAGCCAAAGGCAGGCAAGGTGGCATACATTGGAGTAATGTAGCTACATACGGCCCGCAGAAGGAAGGTACTTGAACTGCCAAGTAGAAGGATGCCCCCACAGGCTGTTCTATTTTACTGCAAGAGTGAAAAGTCACACAGTCAGTTCTTGTTCGGAGCATTTCTTCATACAGGTGGTCATGGAAATTTTGAACTCTCCTACACTCCCCCAAAAAAAGCTGTCAAAGTTAGGTCTGGAAAATTTCAAAACTGTTGGGGAGGTTTGAGGATGGTCAAGGATATTACCCCTAGTGGGCTACAGAAGCTGAGACACTTAGCGTATGAAAGACAGAGCGATAGATTTCATGATACTAAAGACAATTGAGAGAGAGGGCACAATGGTAGTGTAGGAAAACGGTTTTGAGGAAACTATTGGCTATGATCTAGTTGAATGGTGGAACAGGCTCAAGAGCTGGAATAACCTACTCCTGTTCCTCCTCGCTATATTTCTATTCATGGATTTGAACCACAGCAAGTGAGTAGCATCATGATATAGCCTAGTCACATCCCAATACTGAATGATAGTATTGACTCGAGGGACAGAATGCGTACTCTTTGGTGGTCATTCTTTACTGAAGCTTTAAAAGAGAAAGTTCATAACATGGACGTAGATTCAGGCATCGCAGGAGTTCCAACGCTACTTACCAAGAGTAGAAATGATCAAGTTCATCTATTAAAGGGTCCATGCAGTAACATACCTGAAGCTCTGTCTTATCATTGCACAGCACAGCAATCCTGTCATGAAGTGCCTCCATCTCTATGGCAATTTTTAGATTCTGAAGCAAAGGCAAGAATATCATTAAGGATAATTATGCTTGCAATTGACTGTAACAAGGTTTTACAATATTAATCTGATCACAGTTACAATACATCTTAATTGCACATTCAATGTTCCCATGAGCTTACCATTGCTCAGGGGGGTCAGTGTTATTCTCACACTGTGGTGCTCCACCAGAGTACATCCAAACAGATGGATCATAGTCTGGTTCTGCTCCTTCAGTCCTTTGAACCTGCTCTGCTATTCAATAAGATCACAGCTGATGCTGGTGTCAAATGTCACACCCCCAACTACTCCTGTTAACCCTCAATACCCTTCTCTAATGAAAGTCTAGCTCAGACTTTAGAATATTCCATGACCCCAAATCCACTGCCTTCTGCAACAATGAGCTCCCTATCACCCAAACCTCAAAATATTGCTCTCATCTTTGCCCCCAGTTATTAAAACAATGCCCCCTAGTTCTGGACTCACCCACAGGAAGAAACATCTCCAATCATTCAGGATCTTGTACATCTCAAACAATCACCACTTCCTCTTATAAACTCCAGTGGAAACCATCCCAGCCTGCTTAATCCAGGTATCAATATAGTAAACCACTTCCAAACATATCTACGTATTTCCATAAATAAGGAGACCAAACCTGTACACAGTATTTGAGATATGGTCTCGCCAATATCAGGTGTAACTGAAGAACATCCCTACTTTTGCGTTCAATTCTGCTTATCACAAAGGATAGAGTTTCATTAATTTCCTTTATTGCTGGTCATACCTGCATACTAACCTTTTGAAACTTGGGCACTGGAACACCAGATCCCTCTGTACCTTGGTAATCTGTCATTCTTCTCCAATTAGGTAACACATTACTTTATTCTACCTGCCAAAGTGAACAATTTCATTCGTTCCTGCATTATACTTCATCTACCAGATTTTTACGTACACTCTCAACCTACCTACATTGTTCTGGAACCTCTGTTTCATTTGTCAACTTAGTGACTGTATCTCCAGTACCCCCATTGATACAAATTGTAAAACGTTGAGGCTCTAGTACAAACCCTTGCAGGACCACACTCATCACCTGCCAACTAGAACAAGAGCTATTGATGCAGACCCTGTTTTTTGCTCGCCAGTCCATCTTCTATCCATGTTAATACATCACTCTTTTACACCACGTGCTGCTATTTTGCACAATAAATGGTGAGAATCTTGTCAAAAGCCTTCTGGAAATCAAAGTAGATTTGTTAATGGGTTCCCTCTTACACAAAGCACACGTTACTCCTTTAAAGAACTCTTGAACTGGTTAAACAGGATTTCCTTTACAAAACCATGCTGACTCTGCCTGATTACAGAGATAGTAGGAACTGCAGATGCTGGAGAATCTGAGATAACAAAGGTGTAGAGTTGGATGAACACAGCAGGCCAAGCAGCATCTTAGGAACAGGCAGGCTGACGTTTCGGGCCTAGACCCTTCATCAGAAATGGGGGAGGGGAAGGGGGTTCTGAAATAAATAGGGAGAGAGGGGGAGGCGGATAGAAGATGGATAGGAAACAGACAGGTCAAAGGGGCGGGAATGGACCCAGTAAAGGTGAGTGTAGGTGGGGAGGTAGGGAGGGGATAGGTCAGTCCAGGGAGGACGGACAGGTCAAGGGGGCGGGATGAGGTTAGTAGATGGGAAATGGGGGTGCGGCTTGAGGTGGGAGGAAGAACTGGTTACGGAAGTGGGGACGAGCTGGGCTGGTTTTGGGATGCGGTAGGGGGAGGGGAGATTGAAGCTTGTGAAATCCACATTGATACCATTGGGCTGCAGGGTTCCCAAGTGGAATAGGAGTTGCTGTTCCTGTAACCTTCGGGTGGCATTGTTGTGGCACTGCAGGAGGCCCAGGATGGACGTGTCGTCTGAGGAATGGGAGGGGGAGTTGAAGTGGTTCACGACTGGGAGGTGCAGTCGTTTATTGTGAACCGAGCGTAGGTGTTCTGCAAAGCGGTCCCCAAGCCTCCGCTTGGTTTCCCCGATGTAGAGGAGGCCACAACGGGTACAGCGTATGCAGTATACCACATTAGCAGATGTGCAGGTGAACATCTGCTTGATGTGGAAAGTCTTCTTGGGGCCTGGGATGGGGGTGAGGGGTGAGGGGGCAGGTCTAGGGGCAGGTGTAGCACTTCCTGCGGTTGCAGGGAAAAGTGCCGGGTGTGGTGGGGCTGGAGGGGAGTGTGGAGCGGACAAGGGAGTCCCAGAGAGAGTGGTCCCTCCGGAAAGCAGATAAGGGTGGGGAGGGAAAAATATCTTTGGTGGTGGGGTCGGATTGCAGATGGCAGAAGTGTCGGAG